GGGAAGTGACAGTCAGCGGGCGCTGTGTCGAGCATCGTTTCCCTGGGGTTGACGGGGAGCCGGTGGCTTCTGTGTGCGGACAGCAAAGAGCGGACATTCACACAGATGGGAACCACGGCACATCTCAGGGACGTTGCAGCCGGACGCAGAAGAGAAGAAGCGAACGAGAAGGAAGATGATAATTTCACGCTCAACACGATGGCAGGTTTGCAAACAGGAAGCGTTTGAAGCAACCAGCAGATCGGTTTGCAATGCCTGTCCTGTGAGGGTGACTCTTTGGCAAGTTGCTTCCGCTGCTCTCAGAGGTGATGACCAAGCCCTGGCACGTCCGTGTGCCCGCAGTCACCCACCCCTCAGCAGAAACCGTGGTCCCAGGGCCCATTTGGCCTCCAGCTGAGGAAGAGACAGGGTACCAGAGCCTGCACGCAGACTGTCGGAGGAACCTCATCATGGAGTTACCTTGTTCCTGGTGGCCAGATCTTGTCTGGGAGGGTTTTGGCGTGGCAGCTTTGTAAAATTTCACGTGCAAGTCTGACAGAGAGGACTGGCGTTTGCAGCTGTGGGATATCAAGGCTGTGCAAGGACTCTGCCCTCACCGGACCCCCCTGCGCCTGGTGAGAGGGGTCTGGGGCTTGCCTCCGCTCCCGTCACTGGGGCACGCAGCTCTGCTCTTCCTCGGTCTTTCCATTCTTCCCATTCACCTCCTCAGCCCTTTTCAGTCCTTAAAGGGCAAATGGCTCTGCATGCCTTTTCTTTCTCCTTCCATTCCTCTCCCAGCTCTCTGTCTCCTGTCACCCTGGGCCCAAGCTTTTCCCTCCTATTCCTGTTTCTCTTGATCTCCTCTCTCCTCTTCTCTTCTCTTTTCTCTTCTCTTCTCTTCTCTTCTCTTCTCTTCTCTTCTCTTTTTTTTTTTTTCTCTGCTCACTTCTTATATTTCTCTGGGTTGCAGATGTTGTAGCTTGTGGAGTAGGGGGGAAGCAGAGGACATTCACAGTACTGGGGACCTCGTCACTAATTTTGCCTTAATCTCTTGCCTTTCCCCAGGTGAGCACAAGAGAGAAAGGAGGAAGATGGACCGACATCGCAACAACACGATCCGTGACTGGCGTACAGCGTCCCCAGCGCCTATGGAGAGCATGGTCTATGAGGATGGACACAATGGGACCAGGTGCTTTGCAGAACACATCCCTGAAATCGTCACCGGTAGCATCACGCTGCTCATCTGCCTGTGCGGGCTGGTGGGGAACGCGGCCATCCTCTGGCTCCTTGGCTTCCGCCTCAGGAGGAACCCCTTCACCGCCTATCTCCTGAACCTGGCCGTTGCGGACTCCTGCTTTCTCCTCTGCACATTGGCTTTCCTTGTAATATATCATATGCCCATGCTCAGCTGCTTTCAGCCAGAGCTTTTGCAGGTGCTGCCGCTATTTCACTCCATGGTTCTGCTCACGTACAGCACCAGCCTCTATCTTCTCACGGCCATCAGTGTGGAGAGGTGTGTGAGTGTCCTCTGGCCCTTCTGGTGCCGCTGCCACCGCCCAAAGCTCCTGTCAGCCGTCATGTGCAGCCTGCTGTGGGCCCTCGCCTGCGTGCTTGCTGGGCTGGTGTACTTTGTGTGTGACCTGGGTTACTCTGAACACTGCTGGATGGTTCTTGGAACCTTGTGCTTTCTCAATTTCTGCTTTTTCACTCCCTTTATGGTTCTTTCCAACGTGATCCTCTTCATCAAGCTTAGGCGTAGCTCTTGGCAACACCACCCAGCGAGGCTGTACATTATCATCTTTCTCACTGTTTTCTTCTTCCTCCTCTTTGGCATCCCGCTCAGTGTCCAGATCTTCCTCAACTTCTTCGTCTACATTAATTTTGTCTTCGAGATCTGCCTGTTGCTGGCCTCTGTCAACAGCAGCATCAATCCAGTTATTTATGTCCTTGTTGGGAGCTACGGAAAGTCCAGGTTCAGGGCATCTGTCAAAGTGGCTCTTCAGAGGGTCTTTGAAGATAGGGTAGATTCCCAAGAGGTGGGTGAGACCCCTGTGATGGGAATTGCTGCCTAAACCCCTACGGCTGCAGACTGGCACCTGGAGAGGGGGAGCCCGGGACAGCACCCACGGGAGCAGAGCCCCTGCCGGGCTGGGTGAGCAGGACTGGCAGTGGATAGTCATGCATCGCCCAGGACACGGCCACGCTCGATGAGATTTCCAGGGGCAGGGCTGGTTCCCCCCTCAAACTTATTTTTAAGTTATTTTAATAAAAGTATCTTTCATGTAACTTACTGGCGATTGCAATTTCTTCCCTTGCTGGCTCCATGGGGTGACCTTGCTTGTTCTCAAAGTTACAGTTGTGACAGTCCCCTCACGCTACCTGCTAGTTTATACTGCTGAAATGATGTGGTCCAGAAAGTCCTGCCTCATCTGTTCTCCTGTTCTCCAGGGTTAACACAGCCACACTCCTGGGCCCTGATCTGTACCTTGTCTGCTTCCCGACGTGGAGCTGTCCCAACTCTTCCTGCCTCTTCCCTCTTCTCGACCTTGGTGCCTGATACTAAAGCACCGACCACTCACTACCTTGATTCTCAAAAGCCCCCAGACCAGAGGAGATGATGGTGGGGGAGAGAAATGATGTTTTCAGCTCTCTCTGGCTTAATGTCCTCCTGTGCCACAGTCTGACAGAGAAAATCCATCTCAGTCTGGCTGATGGAGCTGGCAGCATCAGTCGGCAGCCAGACCTTCACCCTGCCAAGGGGGTTTAACGGGGGAGGCAGGAATGGACAGGCAAAGAGGCAAGTGCTGCCGGTGATCAGCACTGTGCCAGGCTGGACACAGGACGGACAGACAGACAGGTAGGGGCTGATGGCTGTTGGACAGCGCAATTCTGGGTGGAGAAGCCCATGGAGAAAACCGCCAGGGCAGACCCAAGAAAAGAGACAGAAATAGAGGATGGGAAGGCTCTCACAGGCGATAGCTCGAGGCGGTTGAGCTCTGCCTGCCAGGTGGTTTTACTAGTTTTCCTGGCACATAGAAACAACTGCTACCAGAGCCATAATATTTACAGAACGTAGCTTCCTTTGAACACATACAAGCCTGACCCGGATACAAACAAATAATTGATGTCTGTAAATCTTGTGTTGGATTTCAAAATTTTAGGCGAACATGTTCAGGATGTTGCCCACGAAAGCAGAAGCTGAGAAACCCTGGGTAATTCTGCTCTTTTGTCCAGCACACGGATAGATTGGGCAGCGAGTGTTGTGTTGCATGGCATTATGCTGGTGTACCTTGATGCTTTCCTCACCATGACCTATTTGCACTTGAAAGGGTTGGCTTGGTGAGGGGATGTGAGATTCTGTAGTTGGGGACACAAACGCAGCATCAGCGAGGGAGAGAGGAGGCGGTTTTGGTCCTGGAGTCCCCACGCATATCCGTTCCCAGCAGGAGCACCCCTTGTACCGAGATGCAACAGGAGCTGTATGCATTTCACCTTCACCACAGTCAGTCTGGGTAGGAATCATCTCACCTAACGTCAGCTCTCTAGAAATTACATGGGCCTGTCTGAGAAAATCATTGTAGGCTGCTGACTGACTACAAAGGGAGAGTAGAAGACAACTCACATGAAACCCTTAACTTTTAGATGGCTAAAGTCAAGTGAGCAGCATATATTCACCTCTCCTTAGGGAAAAAAAAATTTCCTGAAACCCTAAGTCGTCTCTCTGCCATCTGCCTGTGCTCTGGTTCATGCACAGATCTTGTTATTCAGTTAGCTCCTTGATGCACATAGTAGCATGCTCTTGGAAACCGTGTATTTGAAGGTCAAGTATCAATGTGAAATTGCGGTATACAAGTGGCAAACCTAGATCCCAATCAGAAACAGAAGTTTTGGAGCAATGCCAAGCTTGTAGTGCAGGGTCCTAAAGACACACCCCTGGAACCATAGAAGAAAAGTTCAGCCAGTTCAAAGACACAAATATTTTGGGATTGGGGTTGCTTTAAAATGAAATGAAGGAGGAACCTGACACGGAGACAATGTGCTTTTCCCATAGGTCTAGTTTCAGAGACTCTTTTTGTTAGTCATTTCCTGTACAAAGCCAAGAATAGATTATAACCAGAACTCTGATACTGTCAAATGCAGTGAAATAGTTCCCTGTTTGCAAGAACCCTTGAGAACATGACCTGCTTGGCTAACACCGAGAAAAGCGGTTTGTGAAAGGACCTGAGAAAGACCCCATGCTGGACGCTGCACGAGCTCACCAAGGCAGGCTTCAGTCCAGTTTTCCAAGCGATAATTCCAGGAAACCTCATGAAGATCCCATCACGGGGGCGGCAGCTGGCGAGCACAAGGTGATGAGAGTCTGCAGCGTGTCTGCTCCAGTGAAGTTCTCCAGGCTGCGAGAGGAAAGGTCAGACTTTTCTGGGTGGTTTTTTTTCAGCCTAATCAGTGCCTCCCCTCATTGTTTTTGAACCTGTTGGTCAATTTGCACCAAATCTGACTGGGGAATAGTGATCTCTAGGATATTAAGACCTATAAATATTGTGCAAAAAGGTGGTAGGGGAATAATGAAATGAGTGTCCCAGTGAAGGAACCCAGCAGCTTAGTAATATCAATTGTAATATTAGACACCTGAGAATCCATATCAGATCCACCCTCAAACCCACTTGCTCTTTGACATCTCCAAGGACAATCCTTTTATCTCATTATTTCCCTCCTCCAGATCTGTCCTGTCCAAAGCCAGGAAGGAGGTATCTCTTTAGCTTGTGCTACACCTCTGTACGTGCTCTTGTGCCAGGCATGTCATACCCATTTCCCCACATCTTGTCTTCCATGTCTCCCGTCCCTCGTTTCTCTCTGTGCTCCTCCACACAGAAGCTGAGGCATGGCTGCAAAGATCTGAAAAGCCTAGTGTGAGGGACAGCAGAGTTGCTAACATGTCTCTGTTTCATCTCATCCCTCCAGCTGTGTGAGGGGGAAGGAGAAGTAGCAGAGGTTTCGTATTGAGCACATTGTTCCCTGCCATGGAGAGAGCCAGCCCTGCTTGCTGGAGCCAGCCCGGTGGGACAGCATATAATGGGAGTTGGCATCACAGGCCGCTGAGGCATGAGGACAGTCACTACAACTGGACCAACTGTGAAGCCAGGCACTTGAGTAAAGTCCCTGTCACACTGCTCATCTGCCTCTCCGGGCTGGTGGGGAACGGGGCCGTCCTCCAGTTCCTCAGCTCCCGCGTCTGCAGGAATCCCATCACTGTCTACGCCCTAAGCCTGGCCGTCGCCAACTTCACCTTCCTCCTCTCCATCGCCATTGCCCTTGTGATATTTTACGGCCCAGAGAGCCTTTGTCACAGGCTGGGCTCACAGGACGTGACAACTGTGTTGAACATCACCATCCTCTTCACTTTCACTGCCAGTTTCTACCTCCTGACAGCCTCCAGTGCCATGACGTCTCTGTCTGTCTTCCCCTCGGCCCGCTGCCTCTGCCACCGCTCCCGGCGCTTGCCAGTGCTCCTGTGTGCCCTGCTCTGGGCCCTCTCCTTCCTGCTCACCATGACCCTCTACTTCTGCCCTGCGGCACTCATTGCCTTCGTCTTGAGCTACCTCTTATCAGTGCTTATCCTGATTTTTTCTGGTCTAGCCCTGCTTGCCAGGGTCTTGTGCTGTTCATGGCAACATCCCCCAAGGAAGCTGTGTGTTGTGGTACTGCTAGCTGTCTTCTTCTTCCCCTTCTTCACTGCTGACTTTGGTTACTGGCTCTTGCTAAGACTCTTCGATTTTTCTGTTTTTGTCTTTGATGCCTCTCTCCCGTTCGCCTGTGTGAACAGCAGTATCAACCCTGTTATTTACTTCTTGGCTGGTAGCTGTCCAAAGAAGTTCACACTCTCTGTTAGGGTTGCTTTCCAGAGGGCTTTCGAAGATGTAACAGAGCCCCAAAACAGAGACGAAACTCCCAGAGAAAACACAGTGGAAACAGCTGTTTAAACCTCTGCAGCCCCTCCCTGAGAGAAGATGCTCTAGGGATGGAGGTGTCCCGTGAGCCAGGGCGAGACACAGGAGATGGCTTTGGTGTGGGTCTGGCTGCAGCTGAATGGAATTAGCTGCAGCACAACAAAACGTGCTGGTGGCTGGCACGGGAACTCCTGCCTGGGGTGGACACTGGACAGCGTGATGAAATACCCATCAAAACCTTTTGCTTTGAAACCTTTGCTTTGAATCTGTCCTATTCAACACGTCTGAGCTTTCCCTGTCTCAAAAGTGAGCTTGCTCTACCCTGCGCACTATTAAAACAGAGCCGCAGAGGCTTTTAGCTCCTGCCAGTGTTTTTTTTTTTTGGTGTGTCTGCTTAAGAGCAGAGTGTGGGTGGATAAGAAAGCTTGGCACAGCAGGGCAGAACAATTCCTGGGCAAACCCTTGTGTGTGCATCTCCAGCGGGTGCTGACACGTGTAAGAATATGCGAAGACTTCACATTCAGCTTTGTTACCGGGCAAGTAGGCGTGTGTTTGGGATCGCACCTGGAAGGCTTTGCCCGAAATGCATTGCTTCTGCTGCAAACCGAGTTTTGTCTACACATCCTGTGGGTCATCTGCACGCAAGGGTTTTTGACTGGAACTGCCTTTCATGGTTCCTCCCACTTTTCTCCGGGCTGTCTGGATGGTTTGCCTGAGCAAATGCCATTTCGCAACCATGACCTGAGGTCTGTATCCATTTCTGGTGTGTCTGTTCCTCATCTAGAAAAACAAGAGGAGTAGGGTTAAAATGAAACAACCCAAAAAGCACAGCGCTGCCTGAAGATTCTGTAAAGACTGGATTTTCCACGTGAAAGAGGATACCGGGAGAGGGAAGGAAAACAGTGGACTTTTTATGGAAAAGACCCTGTTGAGGCCATGAGGACTGACTCCCTGTAGCCTGGCTCAGGCACTCCCTGGGTAAAAGGGGTAGTGGCAGCGCTTTCTCCACTTCTCTCTCCCCTCCGTGTCTGTCAGCCCTTGCTATCAGGAGCTGGGGGATACACCAACTCCTGTTTGCCTGTGAACTAAGCCACCAATAAAACCATTGCATTTGAGCTGGTTTTGTTTCCTGGTGCAACTCCCCACCAGGCTGCACTGACTTTAGTATGAGCACAAGGGAAATGTTGGGAAGATGCAGCTGGCAGGGAGGGGTGGAGGGAGAAAAGGAATCAGCAGGGCAGACTGAAATAGCAACCCCAGGAACTACTGATGCCATGGCCTCTGGGACCTGGGATGGTGACAGAAGTTTCTCTGCCCTTTGGCTTGTCCCTCAGCCCAGAGCTACATGTCACCGGACAGGCTGGAATGAAAATTGATCACTTGTTGAAGTACAGGTACAGAGCCATGACAACTAAACCCATAAATCTCTCTGGTAAAACCAAGAAGCTCAGGTAGGTGGCCTGGGTCGCTCTGCAGGCAAGGGAGATCCCGGGGAGCAGGAAAAGCACATGGGAGGATCGTGGTCTTTCTGCACCTACCTTGGGAGACCCTCCCTGGATGATGGGAGCCCTTTCCTGGACAATAGGTTGTAACTCTGAAAGTTTTTACTTTTCAAAGACCAGGAAAGTGAGAGAGAGGGAGAAAAAACCCCTCTCAACAATGGAAGACTCCTGCCCTGTTCTGTAAAACAACTCTGTTAATAAATGCTTCTTAGATGTTTAATCTCATCATGTGTCTTCAAAGCATGACTCACCACCCATGGGTTATACTCTCACTTCTCTTTCTAAAAGCAGTGGCACGTTAGTTACCCTTGGATTTAAGGCAGTGGGAAAAGGATGGACAACTTCCCACTGTGTAAGAGGCAGGTAAATGGGTGGGTGAATACAGGCATCCCTGCCATCCACAAATGGGTTGATCTCCCCTGTCAGGCTGTGTTCCTCCTCCCCGCTTTTCCCAGCAGTCTCCCAGTTGCTGGGATGCTGCGAGGTCCTTTCCTTCTGGTCTTTTCTCTGCCCTTCCACCTCTGCCTGCCTCAGCCAGCCTCAGCCCTTCACCCTACAAGGAGGTGCTCTCCAGCTGTTCCCGAGGAAAGCTTTCAGGATGTGTGGGCAGCTCCACTGCCACAATTTGGCTCAACTGGAGGCTTCTTACAGTGAGATACATCTCTGCTAACTGCAAGCATCCCAGACAGATGTTATCTGCTGCGCAGGTCCCTCCCAGAATGAACAAGGAAGTCTTGGCACTGTCAACAGATGGCTCATCCCAACAATTGCAGGCACAACCTTAGGTTGAGGTGCATCATGCTCTGGAGGTACCTGTCCTCCTCGTAGACAAGACAGAGGCTTTAGAATGAGAGGGAATGAGCCATTTTCTAACAGATTTGAGTCAGCCTTGCTCTGTTCACCAAAGACAAGCCGTGCAGTGAAGCCCAGCTGCTGTGTATTCAATAAACTTTGGGGTCAGAATTACCATGTTGGAAACAAAAAAAGAAATCCAAATTTAATTTTAGGAGTAGTAACAAAATGACTCCTTAGGTAGGTAACTAGAAAAAGAGCAGTACAATCAGGACTTTGGAATGTATGGTTAGTCATTGACAGAGCTGTGCAGAGGAGCTGCTGATCTCCTCCTGAGGATGGCCAGGTTCAGGATGGAGGCAGTGGAGGGCTTCCTCTTGATGCTGAAGCTGCGGAACCAAAGGATGGCCCCACTCCCACCAGCCCGCACAGGCAGATGAGCAGTGCAACGCTCCTAATTCTTATAAAATTAAGTGGCCCATACATCTGGTTATGTTAATTTTCGCATTTCAGGCTCTTTTTGGTCTGGACACAGAGGTGTATTCAGTGGAGTTACTATGAAATCTTTGCTGCGAGCAAAGAGAATACTGGAATTAGTGTCTCTGACTTGCCAAGACCATCTGATCTGGTAATCCCCTGCCTTGCTTCACGGCATGGCTTGGAGCCGTGTTTGGGGAGGGTTTGGTGAGCTGTGCCAGAGCAGGTTCCCGTCTCAGCCTCTGCAGCTGACGTTTGCCTGCTGTGCTTCTTGCTGGCATCAGAGAAGTGATCTTTGGCATCAGACATCCTGAGTTGTACTGTGTTATCTCACTCTTCACCTTGAAATATTTCCTTTCCAAAATCGGTGCCTTTTCTGGAGACATAACTCCCCCCATTTCCCCTTCCAAGTCTGCAGGACAGGGTATCATAGCTTTGGCTGAAGTGAGGCAAAAAAGTCTAAAGCCTCCTTTGGGATGCTTTTGTCTTTGTGGACAAAACTTTTGTGGAGATATTGAAAAGTGAAACATGTCTTAAAATCCTCTCTTGGTTTTCCTGTAGGGACTGATAGGAGCAGGGCTGGAGCAGATTCCCTGCCCCCTTGCAGGGATGCTTACTGGGCTGTCCGGTCCCTGAGAGACCCCAGCAGGGAGGTGACAACCTCCAGGGTACGATGTCTCGTCAGCCAGCCATAGTCTGTTGCAAAAAGCCACGTTCCCCTGGAACACAGCTGGAAAGCAGCACCTTGCGTGAACTTCTTGGCATGAACATGAGTGCCGGGAATATGCCACTCGTAATCCCCCAGCACTATCGAACCGATACTTTTCTCAGAACAATTTAACCCTGGAATTAAAGAGTGTGACAAATTCCCACTTAAAGTAGAAGAGAATGCTCTTGTTTCTTCCCCAGCTCTGCAGCCCTACCTGATGTTGATTTGTTTCTCTTTCCATCAGCTGGGAGCGCAGGGCTGACTTTGCTGACCGGCTCTTTAGACAGAAGAGCAAGGATGCTCCCTGCGATCCATACCCCTCTCCTGCCATCTAGAGGCATCAACCCCGCAGATATTTGTGCTGGATGTGTCCCCGCAGCCCTCCGAGCCCGGGGTGTGGGTGAGCAGCCTGGGGCTCCCGCTCCTGCTCGGGGGATTCGGCGCAGGCACGGGGGAGGCGGAGGGGTTCAGCTGGGCCGGGAGGCGCATTTAGGTGGGGGTGAGTTGCCAGCTAGCCTCTCTTCACGAGGGTACCCTGCTCGGCTTCCAGGAGCAAGTGGCTCGCCCGGGAGTCCTCACCCTAAAAAACCTGCAGCAGACGTAGAGGCATGGCCAGCTCTGCCATCTCGATGTCTCCATGCCGAGGGAACCAGGGTCAGGAGGGGGCTGCACGATCCCGCCGCCGAGCCACACAGCTGCTTCCCGCGGCAGCAATTGCCTCTACTCTTTGCTCAGCCTTTCACTTCAGCACGGGTGCAGCGGTGCCCGCACGACCCCCTTGGCTTGTCTATTTTTGCAAACCT